TTGACGGGTTTTTGATGTTACTGTAAATAGTATTTAAAAAAAATTTTTGTTTTACAATTGTTGGCTGCAATATATGGAAATGTGTTTCATTTTGTATATTAATCTTTTATCCTGGGACCATGGAAGGTTTTTGACTAATGCAATGAAATGATCAAAAAGATATCTTAGGAAAATTAATCAGAAGAATTGTTCACTGCATATTGGTTAAATGCATCCCTAAGAGGATACATGAGCCTTACTCTGAGCCAGGACTACAAACCATACTCTGACCTTGGGCAGCTGCATACACATTTGTGCTTGTAGTCAAATGTGTTTATTCTTGGGCCAGAGAATGTGAATAGATGCTTGCAATAACATTCATCACTCAGGCTGGCAAAACAGCTCAAAGCACATGCTCTAGAAATGAAAGTGTAGCAGAGTCCTTTTCGTCTGTGATGAATGGATGCACATTGCTATTAAATTGCACCCTATGTCAGAGCCCTCTTGCACATAAGTTGGTGATGGGGTCCATGTGGGGGGTCAGATAGTGTTTACTATATGTATATTTTTGAAGTTCAAGTGAATTCTTTCCAAGGTGTCTTAGTCACCTACTACTGCTATAACAGAAGTACTACAAGTGGATGCCTTTAACAAACAGAAGTTTATTCTCTCACAGTTTAGGAGGCTAGAAGTCTGAATTCAGGGCATCAGCTCTAGGGGAAGGCTTTCTCTCTGGACAGAGGTTCTTGTCATCAATCTTCCCCTAGTCTAGGAGCTTCTCAGTGCAGGGACTTCAGGGCCAAAGGAAGCGCTATTTTCCTGGCTCTTGCTTCTTGATGGTATAAAGTCCCTTGTCTCTCTGCTCGCTTCTCTCTTTCAGATCTCAAGAGATTGACTCAAGATACAACCTAATCTTGTAGATTGAGTCCTGCCTCATTAACATAACTGCCTCTAATCCTGCCTCATTACCATCATAGAGATAGGATTTACAACAATACATAAGAATATCACATCAGATGACAAAATGGAGGACAATCACACAATACTGGGAATCATGGCCTAGCCAAGTTGACACACATTTCTAGGGGACACAATTCAATCTCTAACACAAGGGTATTCATTTATATACAAATTTCTCATCAGTTGCTCTCTCTCTCTTTCTGTCTCTCTCTTTCATTACAGCTTTCTGGCAGTGGCTCAGTAATCTAGCTAGGGGCCTCAAAATCCTATCATTTTCTACTTTTGCCTTTTATCTATATATTTTCATAAGCCATTAGGCTGAGAAAGGGAGAACTTTCAAGGTACCTTTTTATATATCTTTTATATGAAGGTGCAAAACTTCAAGCCTATTGTTTAATTAAAGTAGGGAAGTTGATAGAAAGCTTTTGATTTCCATAGAAAAGAATAAGACAAAGTAAAAACACCCAATTTTTTAAAAATTTTTTATTTTTGGTAACTCACCTTCTTATTTTGATAAACATAACTTTTCCATGCCCTCCTTCAACAATATTCAAAATTTCAAAATAAAGTACATATCATGAATAAAAAACAAACCAAACAATGTTAG